AATAAAGGACAAAATAGTACATCAATACTAAAATTTTAATGAAGAGGTTCATAAATAGAGCTAAAAAATTTCTTCTCTTTGTCCTTATAAATAGGACCAAAGGAGTATTTTTTAGCTTGGAAATTGGAATCTTATCTTCAATTTATTGAAATTTAATCTTTTGACAAATTACTTAAAAAATTTCTCTCTTTCACACTGATCTCGGGTCTCACTTAACAGAAATGTACTGATAACTGAGGATTTTTTTCTTTTTCCAATGGCCTGAAACTAGGAGTTAAAAGGTTCATGTCATTTCTCATTGTGAAGATTATGAAAATTCATGAACAACTTTAATCTTCCTAAATTGAAATCACAATTATTGCATAATTGCTGCGTTTAACGACTGTGACTTTATAGGAGAATTCCAATCATGAATAGTGAATTTACTTAATATATTACTAGACTGTTACGTTTGATCACATGTGAATAGAAGCTAATTAAGCCAAATTTTCATGCCGATCCTTCAAGCCACCAAGATCATCAAATGAATGTTGAAGTTGTCGTCATAAATATTCCTCATTTGGAGTATAAAGTTGTTCTTTTAGAAGATTTTAGTTCTGAGCTTTATTGGCTTGTCTAGTTTCTTCACGTTTTCGCATGGCCTTTTCGTGTCAAAAAAAAAAAACGGAGAGGAAATAGTTTTAAATAATTTTTAGATCAAATGCCCAGATCAAAATAAATTGGGATTAAATGGAAAAATAGAATATGTAAAGTTATAATCATTTGAAAACAAGTTTAAACTAAAGACGGAAGCAAATTATAAAATGAAATTAAAAATAATTAAATTGAGATATTAAAGTAAAATTTCATTGAGAAATATTTTTTTAATTTTTTGATGGAAAATAATTTTTTAACTTCATGAAATTATCGTCCTCGAATATTTTATCTTGACAAGTGATTTCCATAAGTCTAACCATTTGATTACAAATTATTAGTTTATATCTTTATCAAATTTTATCAGATTGGATTATTATAATTATTGAATGAAATATTTCAAAATATTATTTATTGTGTTATTCTGATTATACTCTAGCACTATTATATGAAAGGAAGCTTCTTCCTTTTTTGGGCATTGTGACGCGCTATCCCTCAGGATCTAACCCAATAAATAATTCAGTTATTTAAAAAAAAAAAAAATAGTCCGACCCCAACTTCTCTGTTTTTTTTTTCTTTTGCCAACAATAATAGCCTCATGGGGTACAAAATAAGTTTTTAACGAATGTTTTCAAAATATGAAAAGAAAAACTAAAATTTTTTTCAAAATAAATATAATACTTTTGACTAGTATAAATTTAATATGATAAAAAATTTATTATAAGGAGATAACTGAAATCCTAATTACCATTATGATAATTTCAAAAATTAAAACAATGCAAAATTGTGTCAAAGAAAATTGTGCAGAGAGACTGAATTTTAGTAACATATTTTCATCAAAGAAATTGTAACATATTAGTTTTAAAAATCTTGCAACAGAGAAACAAATTGGCATGGCAACTGGCAAGTTTCGTGTCGTGCTTTTTTAGATCCTTTTTGCATCATATGTTAAATGCTACGTTTCTTTTCCACAATCATTAATCATTACGATTAAAAAAGGGTACTTTGGGGCCACCACAATCATTGTTAAAATAGAGCCTATTAAAATAATTCTTAAGAATAAATTATTAAAATCTAATCCTCTGGATTAGCCTAGAATTGCTCCTTCCATTACGCATGAAAAATATCTTTTCTGATTGGCAAAAAAAAAAAAATCTTTTCTGGCCATAAATTATGATAAAAGCACTCCAAGTGTGCAATCTAATCAAGAAGAATTTACCTTATAATAAGATTATAGGTGGTAAGAACAAGAACGGTCGTATTGACGAGTTCGAGTCTGAAGCTGAAGAAGATATTGGTTACACATAAGAATCTTCTCCTTCCATCAACAACAAAAGCATTCATCCTAACGTTGAAAATGAATTGTATACCAGAATAATAAAGCTTACAAAAGAGAATCATTAGATTAAACAACAAAATGAAGAGATTCTACTCTACGAGGCAAGATCATGTCTGTAATGGAATGAATAGGAATTAGATTATCTGAGCTTTTCAGTAGTAAAAATGCAGAAACTAACAATTGAGAGTTATTAAAGAGTGAGTTATATATTAATTGGCTTTACCATAAGACTTCTAACATTTCAAGTATTTTTAATTGAGAACCTATGTTCAAACTACTCTCCTGATCTTATTTATAAGACATTTTTAGCATATAATACAGTGATAAAAAAATCTTGAAGATGTTGATGGTAAAAAAAAACCCATTTGGGCCCTAATATATTACAATTTGGCCCCCAAAAAAACACAACTACTAAAACACTCTCAGCGGAGTCATCTAATAGAAACGTATTTTATTACAAGGTGTCCACCGTTATCATTACAATTATTATAATTAAAGGGGAATGCTTACATTAAATTTTTTACACTCATTATGTTAAGCTTTTTAACACACATGTTTGTGTTTTATTTTTAAAATATTATTATTTAATTATAAATTCACATTAAAAAAATGAGACACATAGTCATGTGTAACTCAATATAAAAAACTTGAGTTAAATATTTTTCCAAATTAAAATGCTTTTAACTAATGCACTAAGAAATAGCCGTTAATTTTTGTACTGATTAAATTGGTATAATATATTTAGAGTAGCACTAAATATAAAACTTAATTAAATAATTTTTAAGAATTAAGAAAATTATTTATGTTATTTATTATTACTGTATAAAAATTCTGTCACTTTTTTCTGAAATGCCCCTTTCACCGAGGGTTGTTAAATGTATAAGACAAAGTGAGAGAGATAAATTATGAAATTAATAAGGAGAATTTCAATAAACCCCCTGTTAGATAATTAATATTAGTCAATCTCTCAGAAAATTTTGAAATTTCACTGCTTTTTTAAGAACCAAAATTTTTGGGTAGAAAGATTAAAAAAAATACTCTTGTTTTATTTTGAGGTTATGAATTTTTTTTTTATGTTTCTTGCAAATCACCGAATTTGAGTTGCAAATGTGAATCACCAAATTTGATTTGCCTATTCACACCAAAACAATTGTATTAGGGATTTGTAAATTTCCTTATATTTCTTGCAAATTGTTGAATTTTTATTTTTTGGTGAATCGTCAAATTTGAGTTATCCATTCACACCAAAACAATTGCATTTGACATTTTAAGCAGGGGTGAAAATAGGCCAAGCCAAACTTCACCCTTGACATGCCCTACCTGTGGTGAGGCTTGTTGCTTTGAGCCTGGCCTACAGCCTGTGCAAGACCTTTTGTTCGGCCTGAGCTTGGCCTATTAAGATGCTTGTTTTTTTTTTAACAAATTTCAAACACACATAAATCAATTCAAAATTATAATAATTCAACCCAATTTATTTAAAATACAAACAAAAATATGAACTTATCAAATTAACACAATTTGTAAAACATGTCCCCTTAGGCCCAAAAAAAAAATCAAATATAAAAATTATTAGAAAACATAATTTTACTTTGTATAAAAATATCACTTCATCCCATCTCTAGTATAAAAATTAGTTGATGACTAGATCTAGTTTAAAATATGAAACGTCCTTAATCCCCTTTATATTTTAAATTTATCATTTGTTCAAAATAATTTACTAACAAAATGATACTTGATCATGTTGTGACACATGGTTGTTTTTAAAAAAATATGTTACATTTATTATTTATTTATTTATTTAAATTAATTAAGCAACTATTATAATAAAAATTAGATTGAGCACACATATATACAGTCTAAAACATAAGAGGTCAATTTTATATCTATATATATATTCTATATAAGATTAATATGAAAAACGTGGATCAAATAAATGAACGATGCTTTTGTTTTTTTTTTAATGCACTTATGTTTTCTTTCTCTCTTCAAATGTGTCATTATACATACATCAATTATTTTTATTATAGAGAATGGAAATGAAATGAAGCATGCAATGAGCTCTGGATAACACGTTTATTTAGATAGAGTTCTCTCAATTAACTAATCAGAATAGCAGATTTCCTCATTTCCATTTACAATTTTAACCTTAAAAAAAAAAAGATAAAGGTCTAAGCTGCCTAATAGGCCTAATAGATTTATTATCAGGCCTGAGCCTGACCTGATAAAGTAAATAAGCTTTTTATAAGCTTTTTAACAAGCCTGAACCTATTCTGATATCTAAATAGACCAGGCCAAGCCAAACTAGACCATATATAGGCTAGGCCACAGGCCGCCTAGTTTATTCCTTCCCTTAGTTGTACGTTTTTTTTTGGTTTCTTGTAAACCGACAAATTTGAGTTGTAAATTGTTGAGTTTGAGTCCATTCACCTATAAAATTTACAAGGATTGACAAACTCAAATTCAACAATTAACAACCCAAGTTCGGCATTTTTTTTTTTTTAAGCACAAGCATCTTCCTACTAAAGGCAATTTTTTTAGAGGCATCATTGGCCATTAGATGTGAATATCTCTATTAGCAAGGCTTTGAATTTTAGTTCATTATACTATAAGAAACTAGTCCCTTCTACTAGACTAACCCCCATTGTTCAAATTCGGCAATTTGCAAGAATGTTTTTCAAAAAACAAAAACAAGAGTATTTTTGTCTTTTCACTGAATTTTAGTCCTTGAAGTGCAATGAAATTTCAAAATTTTATGGGGTTAAATGATATTAATAATTATCTATAGTGAGAATTAAATGAAATTTGACATCTTGACACATGACTATGTTGACTATATGTAATTAAAAAAATTTACATAACGAATGTAAAAGACTTGAGATAAATAATTTCCCATTTTTTAACCGGAAAATTGGAAGTGATATACAGCTTCATCATATTATTAGTAACAGTTTTAATTGCATTTTTACAAGTTCTCCTTATACCCAAAAAAGGAAAAAAGAAAAACCATTACATCATTAGAGCAATACAATGCACAACAATAATAGCACATGTTTTTAAAATGGATTTTAAAATAGATTGTCTGGTAATCTTCACATTGTAAGTTCTGTTATTTACCACCGAAAATATATATACATCAATGAATCAAATACTCACTATTCTGTACTGTTCTCTCCACCCGGCCGTCTACGGAACACATTGCAGCTCGCCGACCGTCGCAATCCTCCGTGACTCACAGTAATCTGTTTCCTCAGATCCTCCAACAATCTGAGATTGTACCTCTCCGTGTCCTTGCCTCCCCATACCTCTTCTATCTCCTGAATGAAGCTCTGTTCTACTCCCAGAACTTTCATCGAACACCTGTCGTGCATTTATAACCTCATTCGGAATTTCGATCGCAACATCGTTTTCCCCTCGCCGGTGCTCCTCCGCCGGCTTCAGTCTTGAACGGCAAACAGGGCAAGTCACGTGGGAGGCCAACCAGGCGTCGATGCATTGAGGGTGAAACACATGGTTACATTTCGGAAGTAATCGGAGCGTATCGTGTTGGTCGAACTCACTCAAGCACACGGCACACTCCAGCGCGGCGGCTTTCCCAAATTTGAGGTTTTTCACGGCGGAATACACGAGGATGGGGAAGGTGTCGAGTAATTTTGGGTCAATACCTTGAGGACCACTTGAAGAACAATTGTCGGCAGCAGCCAGATCCACGTCGGAGCAGTGGCGGAGGTAGAGGGCAAAGCTGACAATGAAGAAGGTGGCGCAAACAAGGGCCACAATCACGGGAGCGAATGATACATCCCAAGTGTGAAGTGGGGCATTTGGAGAAACCACCGGTCCAGAACTTGACTGAGCATCGACGGTGGAGGAGAGAAGCAAGAAGACGAGGATGGGTGAGGGTGTGATTGTCTTCACCATTTGGATATTGTTGGAAACTCCCAGTGAAGAAATAGATAATTACAAAGGTTGGTCATTATAAAACATGAGAACTAAGGAGAGGCCAAATAGAAGTCAGATTCGAACGGTGGTTGGCTTGTGTATACTGTCAAAAACAGTTGATTCTATGTGTACTTGTATTCTTTTCAATATCCTTATTGATTAGTACCTACCTTTTAATTAAAAAATTTGTATTTTTTCAATCACTAAATTAGATAATTAATTTAAAAATTTAGATAAGCTAGTTATTTATAAAAAAATATATTTTGATTTTTTAAATTTTTTATTTAATAATTTATATAGTAAATATTTTTTGATACAAATATTTCTTGATAATTTTAATAGAAATAGTTTATAAAAGGGTTAATTAATCCGCAAGTCCTTATAGTTTCAACGAATTTTGAATCAGGTCCCTATAGTTTTTTTTCTTTTTATCAAGTCCTTATACTTTTACCTTTTTTTAATTAGGTCCTTGTATTTATTTTTCTTTTAATTAAGTCCTTATCATTTCACTAAATTTTTAATAAGATCCATGTAGTTTTAATTTTTATTTATTAATTAAATATAAGCTTAATTAAATAGATTAATACTGAAATATAAAATATTAATAATTAAATTAAATTAATAATTATGTAATAAAAAAGTAATAGAATTAATTAATTCAGGAAAATTTTTTAGAACAATTAATTTTTTTGCTGAAAAAATTAAAATCATTATAATAATTCAATATCTTTAGAATATTATTGTTTATAAACTAATATTAAATAATATATACTATTTTATGCTTATATAATAGTACTATTAGAATTCATAAAATAAAGAATAAAAAATTCAAGGACTTAATTAAAAATAAAGTGAACTTATAAGGACTTGATAAAAAGCAAAATAAATACAAAGACCTAATTAAAAACAGGTGAAAGTATAAGGACCTGATAAAAAGAAAAAAAACTATAAGGACCTGATTCAAAATTAGTTAAAACTATAAGGAGCTGTGAATTAATTATCCCTTTATAAAATTATAAATTTAATAGACAAAGTAAATTAACATCTTATATTAAACATTAAATAAACTCCTTTACTGATATTTATGAAAGGAGTATTTATTGGGAAAAAATGTATATTACAAAATTAATGTTAAGTTGTAGTGAAGATCTAAAAAGGAAAAGTCATAAAAAAAAAAAACTCTGAAAATTATAGAATCGTAAATTGGGTATTTTATTAAAAATTTATTGTAAACGGATCTAATTTATGATTTTATAATTTTTTATGGTTCTTTTTGTGATTTTGAATTGAAAAACTAGCCAGATAAAACCCAAAAGCGGTACACTGGTTTGAAAGAAAGAACTGCCTCCGGTTTTGTCACACAACCTCCCTCCCACCCACGTTTTCAACGTGAATTAACAAAATGACAGTTGTCAAAGCCAGAGGAAATCCTTACTTGTTTGGGATTTCTTTCAAGTTTATCTTATATTTTTAACTTGGAATCTTATCTTCAATTTATTGAAATTTAATCTCTTGACAAATTACTTTAAAAATTTCTTTCTTTCACACTGATCTCGTGTCATTTAATGGAAATGTACTGATAACTGAGGAGTTTTTTTTTTTTTTTAGTGGACTGAAACCGAGGAGTCCAAAGGTTCATGTCAGTTTTTCATTGGCAAGATTATGAAAATTCATGAACAACTTTAATTTGTCTAAGTTGAAATCAATATTACTGCATAATTGTTGCCTTTAACTACTCTGACTTAATTCCAACTCATGAATAGCGAATTTACTTAAGATCCTAATCTCAATGGCAAAAGATAGACAAATCTACAGCCTTTTAATACATTACCAGATTGTTACGTTTAATCACATGTCAATAGAAGCTAATTTTCATGCCGATTCTCTAACTCACCAAGATCGTCATCAAATGAATGTTGAAGTTGTCGTCATCAATATTCCTCATTTGGAGTACAAAGTTGTTTTTTTAGGTACTGTTTTCGGTCCTAATTATAAGATCTCGTTTATAATTTATAAACAAAATCTTATAATTAGGATAGGAAATAATATTGTTTTGGATGACAGAAATGAAGGGAAGGAGAGAAGAGAAAAAATTTTAACAAGTTCTACTTAAAAAATTAAAAAACTGGGGTTTTAAAATTTTAACAAGGAGAAGAATTAATATGAAAGAGTAATAAAAATGATTTAAAAACATTTGATTCCATCTTTTCAATTTTTTAAATTGAAATTATTAAAAATTTTCCTGGCCCTATGAGTTCTTTAGACCCAACTCATCTAAATTTTTTGCAACCGATAAAAAATCATTAAATTGAGATACTAAAGTAAAATTTGACTCAGAAATAATTTTTTTTACCTTTTTTATGGAAAATATTTTTTTTACTTCATGAAATGATCACCTTCCAATATTTTATTTTTGACAAGTGATTAGAAATTATTAGTATATATCTTTGTCAAATTTTATCAGACTTGGATAAAATATTTTTTTTCCGATTATATTAAAGTAGGCTTCTTCTTTTTCTTTTGAGAGGTATAGTGACGCGCCATCCCCAATGAGGCCGTAGGTACCGTTTGCTACTGAGCATTAAAAATAAGGAATAGAGATCAAGGTTAAGATTGAGAAAATACTCCTCCGGTCCTTAATATAAGACCCATTTAATTAATTTGATTAGATTAAGGAAGTTAGGTAAGTTAGTTAATTATAAGAAATGTGACATGTTTTTCCTAAAATACCATAATCATCTTTCTTAATACCTCATCTCCTTCTTCTATTTGATTATGGTTGAGGGAGTATCCATAGGGGTACTTTAGAGAAAATTGATAAATATGAGAAATGGGTCTTATATTTAGGACCAAAACCAACTCAACAATTGGGTCCTATATTAAGAACCGGAGGAGTAGTATTTAGCCTAAGAGATTATTTATTATATGGGATTAGACATATCCATATATATGAGATTGGGAAATACCATGAGAGAGTGATATTTCCCAATCCTACTTTCATGGGTTTACCTAATCCCATGTAATGAGCAATTACTCATATTAAAAGCTTTTTTAATGATTTTTTTCAATTACAATTCTAATCCCTTTCCCTTATTTTTTTAATATTTCGTAACCAACGGAATCTTAGGATCAGCCCAAGAAATAATTCAATTATATAAACAATAATAGTCCCACCCCAACTTCTCTGTTTGTTTATTTTTTTCCTTTTGCCAACAATCATAACCCCATGGGGCACAAAATAATTTTTTACCGAATTTTTTCAAAATATGAAAAGAAAAACTAAAATTTGTTCAAAATAGATATAATATTCTTGACAAGTATAAATTTAATATGATAGAAAATTTATTATAAGGAGATAATAAAAATCCTAATTACCATTATGATAATTTCAAAACTTAAAAAAATGCAAATTTGTGTCAAAGAAAATTGTGCAGAGAGATTAAATTTTTATAACATATTTTCATTAAAAAAAATTGTAACACATTAGTTTTAAAAAATCTTGCCACAGAGAAACAAATTGGCATGGCAAGTTTCAAGTCGTTCAGCTCAAAAAAAAAAAAAAGTTTCAAGTCGTGCTTTTTTAGTTCGTTTTTGCATCATATGTTAAGTCCTACCTTTCCTTTCCATAATCATAATCATAACGATTAAGAAAGTGTACTTTGGGGCCACCACAATCATTATTAAAATACAGCCGATTAATACTACTCCTCCGTCCTTAATATAAGACCTAATTATTAAGTTGGTTTTGGTTTTAAATATAAGACTCGTTTCTCATATTTATTAATTTTCTCTAAATTATCCATATAGATATTCCTTCAACTATAATTAAGTAGAAAAGTAAAAGAGGATATTAAGAAAGATGATTATGGTATTTTAAAAAAAACGTGTCACATTTTTTATAATTATCTAACATACCTAACCCTTTTAATCTAATCAAATTATTTAAGGGGGTGTTTGGCAATCAGTTTAAAAGCACTTCTGGCCCCAAACTATGGTTTGAGGAAGCTAATTGTCAAACACTCCCATTTTTTTAAAAACCCAGGTTTTAGAGAAAACCATGGTTTTGGCCAGCCAAACCATGGTTTTCCTATGAGCATCCCATTTTCGCTTCTGAAGAATGAATATAGTTGTTGGACTCATCATTATTTGTGTCAGAGGCTCCAAAGTGCCATTTGAAACTAGTGCGTCTTCTCCTATTCCGCCTCTTCTCCAACGGTGAAATAATAATATTTTTTTGTTGGCAAAATAAATTATTTCTAAAAAAACATATTTAATTATTTTATTAATATATATAAACATTAATTTTTATCATTTATATTATTTATGTCTTATTTATTTGTTGTCAAAATATATATTATTAACAAATTTATTACTTCAAATAAATATATATTATGAAATATATCTTATATATAATTATCATTTAAATTTATGTCCTTTTTAGTAATTTCTACTATAAAAAAGCACTTCTGACAATAACTATCCAAACACTCTCACTTTATCAGAATCAATTTTTCAGAAAATCTCTTCTTTCAAAATCTATTCTCTCCAGAATCTATTCTTCAGAAGCTATTCTCCAAACTATGGTTTGACTATATCCAAACACCCCCTAAATAGGTCTTATTTTAAGGATAGAAGGAATACAAAAAATACAGCCGATTAAAATAATTCTTAAGAATAAATTATTAAAACTTAATCCCTTGGATTAGCCTAGTATTGCCGCCTTCGATTACGCATGAAAAATATCTCTGCCAGCTGTCTCGCACTTCTTTTTCAATGTCATATGAAAAATTGCATCAGGGCCCACCTAAAAAAAATAAATATAAAAAGGTCTTTTGAGGTCAAGTCTTAAGCTCTCTCATTTTAAGAAATTTTACTTGTTCAAGTATTAAGGTGTTCTTGTCTTTTTTTACTTCAACTTTTTTAATAGTATGCATTGAATAACTTGAGAAGTAACAATTACAATTATTATAATACATGTTAATAATATATTTTTTC